CGCCAGCGCCACGAGCAGCAGCGGCAGCAGCGGCGCCGGGCCCGGCCAGCGGCTCCGGACACGTCCGCACGCCGCCATCTTGGATCCGCCAACCCCCCCACCACCGCCGCCGGCGCGGCCGCGCGCACGCACGCGCGGGAGCACGCACGGCGTATGTAAATGAGGCKCTGCTGGGCACCGCCCCCTGGGCGGGGCTACGTGTCGCCCCGCCCCTCGCGCTCCTGAGGGGATGGCGAGGGACGCCGGTTTGGGGCTGGGAGGGCAGGGATGAAACCGGAGCAAAAGGGGTGAAATTAACGGCCRAGCAGCGGCCACCGCGCAGCTCTGGAGCCCTGTGCACACGGCGGGACAGCGGGGCTCGGAAAGGGGCCGCGGCAGCGGGGGGCGCTGGGCACAGGGCCCTCGTTGGTGGCTAGGGAGCGAGCGAGGGCCAGGCTGAGCCCTGTGGTCCTCAACACCAGTGCAAAAAGGGGCCCCTCACGCTGGAGTCGCTGCAACCTGAAAGCTGAGCGGAACACCATGGAGATGGAAGCCCCAGGGGAGCAGAGACGAGGATGGGACCAGGGAGACGSCTGCCTCAGCCACCTGCCTTTCCCCGCTACCCTCCATCAAACCTGCTGCAGCAGTAACCATGGGGCTGTGGGGGTTTATGACCGTAAAAGCATTCACAAGAATGCACAGCTTATTGCTCAAAACACCCCGATCCCTCTCCCCCAATGACGCAGAGCCGCGGCTTTTTACAGTCTCTGCCCCGCTGACTGCAGGAAGCAGCAAATATTTCATTAACCCAGTCAACCTTTTCAGTCCTGGATGGYGACAGCTTCCCCTGAGCCCCCGAGGCAGCCTCTCCTGGAGGCTGCAGCAAAGCTCTGACTCAGGCTGCGCTCACTCCTAGCTGCGGTCTTGCACAAGACCTTCCAGCAATATTACTCTTCCTATTACCCATTTGCTCCTATCGATGTTAAAATGCCAAAGCCTCAAGCCAGTTTACTGAAGTTAGAAACATGTCCTAGGTACAAAGCTACCCCAGAGGGCCTCCCCTTTCATTAAAAGCTTGCRTATCATTTTAATCTGAAGCTCAGTGTACCCTTGGAAATACCACAGAACAGGAGAAACTTTACCTGCATGCAGGCTTGTTGGTGTTCCACACACTACTTCATCTCAACACAGCAGTACCAGCTCTATTTAGTAACTATAAAGGCTTTATTTTTACAGTATATAAAAATATAGGAACAAAATATTACACAAAAATATAAAGTTAAGAGATCTTCCCAGAATCTCATCTTTAGGAGGTAAAACACAAGCAGGATTTAATCTGCACATCCCAGATTTCAGAAAGGAACATTGCTCTGTTGGTTTAAGCAGTAACGCACTGAATCTTTCAAACCCAAGATCCTGCTTTCCCCAGCTGGGCCACAGTGCTGCCAGGAGAGGTTTAAAGCAGAAGGAACTTGTCCTGCAACTCCCTGCAGTTCAGCTTTTGTGAAGCACGAAAATACTAAGCCCCATTTCGTGATTTGACCCTGTCTCATGCCCCATACCCACCTTACTGCAACGATGCTAAGCACTCGCTGCCYAAAACTCCCCTCCTGCTTTGTCATCCCTCCCAGCGCTCCACAGGCAACCGCGTCTTCGATTTACACCAGTGAGCCTGCAGCTCCCTCGTGCACAAGGATACCTGGAAGCAGTCTGCAAGTTGCTGCTGAGCTGGCACCTATGATTTAAGACAAAAACTGCTGAAATTCCTGAGTTTCTACAGGTTTCTAAATAGCTAATACTCTTTTTCCATGGTACTGGCTGTTTCAGTACATTGGTGTCTTTAAACAAGGGCATCACAGAYACAACAGCCACAAGTACCAAAGTCATCCTCCTCCTTTTATCTCTGTTTCTTTAGCATTACAGAGGCTTTGTTTTCTAAGACCAAGTTGTCCAAGCTTCCTGGGCTGCTGGGGAGAGGAAACAGAAGACAGTTGAGGGAATACAGTGAAGTTATGTGCTCATGACAAAACGCAAAGAGATTCCCTCCGAGTTCTCCGCGCCATAAGAAAGGTCTCTCCCCATGAGCAACGAACYATCCGCTTCCTTTGCCCGAGACCTTCAAAAGAAAGATAGGAAGATGTTCTCTAAAGCAGCAAACCTGTTTTACACTCAGTATCAACAATTCCAGGGAGATGCCMAAATTGCTGCCTTTTCATCACTCACTAGTCACAGCAGGACTCCACAAGAAAGTGCAGCGGGAGCCTCAGATCTTCAAGTTCCCTTTATTTTGTTGATTCGCAGAAGAGATTTGCAGGTCCCTGGACTGTATTCCCACCAGGAAAAAAAAAAAAAAAAAGTGCAACAGCCCAAACTGGAGCCAGTCCAAGAATTAKTACTATGCTGAGGCAGCTTGCTGAGTTGAGGTGAAGAAAAATGACCAGAGAAGAAACAAGGACAGAGTTAAAAAGGAGGATGGAGGAAGAACAAGTGCTCCGGGCATCCGTGTGTCCCAGTTCCTGCCTGCCACCAGGGAGGTGCTGTAGCCCTCTTGTAGCCCTCAAGCAGCACGTGCAGGGAAGCTCAGCCTGGGGCTGGGCCCGTGCCGTAGGCCAACAGGGCTGGGTGATGAGCAGCATTTTGGCAAGCCCCTCGGTGGAAGGTGTGCACGCTCCTGTCACTGCCACCTGTAGATCTTGACCATTTTCTCGGTGAGCGTAGCCAGGAGGGATGTTTGGTTCACTTCGAAGGGGCAGATGTCCAGCACGGGCAGGTCAGCCTGCAGCTTCTGCAGTAAGGTGCCACTTCCAGCATCCCATAACTGCGAGATAGAAAACRTCAAAGACTGTAGGATCCTCCTCTCCCATTCAAAACAGAGCTCCCTTTCCCTTTAACACAAATAAATCACACTTCAAACTCATCGTTTTCCATGACTAGATCTGCACTGAAGGAAGAGCAACGCACGTCACCCACCTCGATCTTCGCAGGGCTTTTGACAGCCTGCTCATCCCGATGCCACCAGTACCTGATGTTTGTGCCTATATGGCTGCTAAACTGCTGGCTCTCTGGCCTTTAAAGGTGGTGGTTAATGGTTTATACTAGACCTGAAGGCCCTTTTTAYGCTGGAGTTTGGTTATGAGCTCATTTAGTCCGGACAGAGGCCAATCTGTCTACCCATTTTGCTGAGCATCAGGATAAGCAGATCTTGTGCCTGGTGGTGGATGTCCTTAAAAATCTGCCATTCCCAACCATCTTTGACCTAACAAACTGCCTCCACAGGATCCCTTCCCTACCCATTCTCTCAATAAGCCAAGCTGCCCTTTCCAAAGGCCWTCTTGTTTCCTCCTACTTGCCTTCCCCACAGCCCTCAGCCCAAATTTCACTATTTCAGGGTCACTACAGCCAAAGTTGTCAATTCTCACATCCTTGACTAGTTCATACTTGTTTGCTAAAAGAGACTTACAAGTACCATCCCATCTACTTGCTCCCACAGCTGTTCCTAGGATCCTCCAGAAACCTGCTGCACTGACTCCTGCTAAGCTGCCCTTCCCATAAATGCTGGGGAGATGAAAGTCTCTCCAAGAATCAGGTTTGTAATTTGGAGACTCTCAGGCAACTCAGAGATGACTTGATTCAGTTTCTCACCCTGCCCGTGTGATCCACAACAGGCTCCTGCCATGACATCACCCTTACCGGTTTCTCCTCTGATCCCAATTCCTAAGATTCGGGCACTCCATCCTCTAGGCTGCTCTTTCATACGATGGACACCCATCCAGGCCTTTCCTGCCCATCATTCCCAAAAAGCCTGTGCCCATCCATCACAGCACTTCCCACCAGGYACCCCAGGCTATAGGGGAGCACGAAAGACCCATGTACTTGCCAATCTGCACAGAGCRGCAGTTTGGACAAGGTAATTTCCACGGTTACCCACATGCTGCAACTAATAAGGTTTTACCTCTAAGCATTACAAAAATCCCTCCACTACACAAAAGCAAAACAAGATACCATGGCAGAATTAGACGCCTCATCACCAGCACACACAAAGATGCTGCCATCCTCCTCCGGGCTCTGAAAAATGGCATTTTTGGTCAGCAACTTGCAGGTGGGGCCGGCACTGAAAGTCTGAACTGGRTTAGAAGAGCACACCACGTCCTCAGAAGCTTCTGTCAGCGGGCTGCAGCTCAGCTCCATCATCACGCAGCGCAGGCAAGGGTTGTTCTTACCTGCAACATGGCAATAAGGAGGTAGACTGAAAACTTTCATGGAAGAGAGAGTTTTCCCACGATAAGCTTATCCAGGAAAGAGTTAAACTGCAGAGCAGAGAAGACCAAGGCAAGGTTACATGGGAAACCGAGCAACAGCCCTTCACAGCTTCCCCATTTCTTAGTTACGTGCTCAATACCAAGGCAGGTACTGCCTTTCTGCTGGCCCTCAGCACCAAGGCTGCTGTGGAGGCCAGCGAGGGGCAGGACAGAAGGACAAGCAAAGCGGGGCTGCACGCGCAGCCCRTCACGTACTGGGCCGGTAGGTCGCGAGGCAGTGGCGCGTGTTGACCTCCGTCTGAATGTCGATGCATCCTCCRGGCTCCAGGAGCAAGTGGTGAGGCCGGTAAGAGGTCCCAGCTTGCTGCTCCCAAAAACAGGCTCCTTCCAAGGTCCCAGCTATTATTCCACCGTAAGGACATGATGCTGAGGCCATTCGCGGCAGATAGGACAGTGACACCATGGGGCACCTGGAAGCACAACTAGCAAGAGTCAGTGCTGCCAGCTGCAGCAGCGAGGCTGCTGTTCTGCTCGACACTTCACAGCTACYCTCCTTGCAACCACTTCACAAAGAAGGGATCTCGAAGAAAAAAGCATGCTGTAATTTAAATTAGGCTGTTTTTCTTTCATTTGTCAATAAAATTACAAATACAGCTACAAAGCAGTGTCCTTAAAGAACAGAATCCRAAGGGGTTTGTCAGGAGTGAGATTATGGATCTCAACACTATTACTGAACTTGATGTTTTTAGGAAGCATCACACRAAACACAGGAGTTTTGGCACAGTTCACAGCTTTAACCCCAGGGCTGTGCGACAGGCACCAGGCCTCTGCAGCAGCAATGCAGCCCTCGTGCAAGGTGCTTCCTTTACTGAAGGGCAGACTGACTCCTGAGGGACAAACGCAGCTCCCAAGACGCTTAAATGTGAATCTCTGGCAGCTCAGASACCCACCTTAGTCCACCCTAAATCTCTCAGCCCATTCCTATTTTGACAGGTCAGCCTTCTTTGGTCTTCACGCTGTGTAAATCCTCACACAGCCTACAGGAAATCCCTCCAAGATACACTTTTAAATCTGCATTTGATCCCCCCCAAGTAGAAGAGATGGAAGTGACAAAGTCTCTCAGACCTCTAATTTTAACGGGAAAAGTTATAAACACTGAAGCCAGCTTTCAAACACCAAGCAGTAGAACTGTGGCAGTAATACTACATTAGGCTGCTCTGCTGGGTCCATTTCTGACAACGGCAAGCCTTAACGAGATGGGTAACACGCTCACGCCGAATTCTGCACGTCATGTGGCCTTATGCCACTTCTGCCATACTTGCCACATTTGTGGTACCTTTAAGGGGACTGTTTTTCCAAAAACAGATTCACATGCTCCTAAAACCCTTCACACCACTACAACTGTTGTATGATTCATGGAAGAAGCTGCGTTTAGCTTTAAGTACACTAGAGAGGTCGAGAGGCAGACAAAAAACCTTAAGCCAACCTGGACTTCTGAGGGGTCAGCTCCTGCACATGAGAACTTGTGTCTCTCAAGTCATATACCATGATAGAGCCATTCACCAGCCCAGCGTAGATGTAGTTCGTGTCATCAAGACACCAGCAGCAGCTCCAGACAGGACGGCCAGTGTTGTACGTCTGTACCACGGTGTTTGTTGCCAAGCTGCAGGGGGAAAGCCAAATGTTAGCCCTTCACACAAGCATCTACTGATGAGAAAAGAACATAATTAAGGCAGGCAAGTATAGCTTTTTAAAGTCTTTAGGAAGAAATATATCCCTTTTCAGGCCRAGTGCAACTTGGCCAGTGCTCCAGACATTAATTTGATAGACCTAGACAGAATAATCACTTAGAAATTGTGGAGTGATTTACAGCTCTTCACCTTGGGYGATACTTCCTTTTCCAGATTGGCCTTTGGAGACTGGCAGAGCAGAGTCTCGGCTGCCTTACTGGAAAGGGAGAGTTAAATTACTTTTCTGGAAACAATTAGGAGAAGCCACTTTAGTGTAATCCCATAATACTGCATATTCCTGAAATCACAGGTCTTTCAATTATGCCTCTGGTTAATTGTTTCCCTCTGCCTTTTTGAGAGGAATGGCACTTATGTCTCAAAAGAGTCCAATTTAAACAACAGTGAGCCACTAAGTGGGGCAAAGGGGAACAAACAAACAAAAAATGAAGACAGTAAACAGTATAAATTGAATGCTTTTAAGTCTTTAGAGAAAGAATTTGGGGAAGGTTGGAGAGGGATGTAGGTGGGGCATATACAGGGGGCACAAACCCAAAGAGTGGATGAGATTGCAAATRTGTTCTACTTTGACACCAAAACCAGGTATCATCAATACAGGCTGAGCACACCAAGACTGAAGTGAGGTAGAAGACAGCGTGTGGAACAACCAGAGACACAAAACAGGTGAAAAATAATTATGAGGAGTTTTCTATCAGACAAGGGATTAGTTTAAAACTGAAGAATCTCAAAGCCTTGATGCTATTCTAGACACTTGCAAGCCAGAATAGGAGACCTCACAATGTGCTGGATACTGCTTTTGGTGGCACGACCAGGAAACATGGAAATAGGAAGTTTCTAGAGAATTTCTGAGTAACCAAAGGAAGACGACAGAACCAGGAGCATCATTGGGAGACTGAAAGAAATAGGAAGATGCTGCTGAAGCAAGTGCTCCTTTCCCACACATTCAGAGATCAAGCACCAAGGCAAGAAAATCGCAAGGTCTAACACATTCAATCAGGCCTTGAGAGGCAGATTTAGGAGTCAAGTGTCTGAACAGATACCATGACGAGATGCCACGCTCCAGATTAAGCTGTGAAAAGATAACAGCCTCATCGGTTAGAGATCTGATGTGCCAATCTTAGCATCGCAGACTGGCAGTTCGGTTTATTTTGAACGYGTCTGGCAAACATTCCAACATGACAGCAGGAACGGGAGAGCACTCCTTTTTGAGATTCTTGTTGCAGAATTAAGCTCTTAGCATTRTCTTTACGCATATGTTAAGAATTGGGACTAATCATTGACATAATAGACACCTATGTTGCCTAACTCTGTCCTAAGTGAGAGGCGTGCATGAAGATTTTCCTGTAACTCAGTAAGATTCCGTTAGCCAAAGTTTTCAGACATTCTAAGCTTGCATAGTAATACTGGGAAGCAAATAACACACTTGAAAATTCCACTACGATTGGAGAATTTTCTCTCGTCATCTATATAATTAGTCTTCAACATGTTTCTTTAGCTCTCTCCTTCCTCTGCACATGCTGCTCCTTTAGCACATGCTCAGCAATRCTGTCAAGCACCTCATATGCCAGATTAATTCCATGATCACAGACAGGTGACTCCACAGCACCTCAAGCGAAAAAGACACAGAAGCAGGAGCTTCCCTTAGCACTTAGGATACACAGAGCTGATGTCATTTACCAGCATCCTGGAAATCAGAACGGGAACTGCTGCAAGGCATGTTCAGAGCAAGACGGCCACAAAATCCAGCCTCTCATCCAGGGAAATACGTGGCTAAGCTACTCTTCCCCAGCAGGACTCACCTGGTTAGCTTGAGAGTGTTGTCCAGAGCAGCAGAGAGCAGCAAACCATCCGCTCGACTGCCAAACGCCAGGCCCCGAATCTGTTTGCTGTGGATGGGGATGTACTGACTGCTCTTCAGGTTGGCTGCGCTCATCATCTTCACACCACAGCCTGCCACGGGAGAAGGATAAAGCAGGTTATTGAGACACTGCACATGATTAAGGCCTTGGAATCAACTGTCGAAGAGTCTGAGTTGACAGTTTTGTGTCGGAACTACAATGTCTGTGACAAAAATAGTGCTGTATAAGTCAGAGTTGCATGTTGCTCTGGACAGGAACTGCAACATGTGTCATTCTGTAACTTCAAGGTTATCTTTAAGGACCCCAGTCAGCAGCAAAGAACTCAACAATTGCAACATTAATAGTGCTACCAGAGCCTGCTGTTCTTCACCCAGTTCCTTCAAAGGCTTCTGTCTTAGATGAAGAAACACACAGTGGGATTAAGCAGAATTAGGAGCAAGTGTCACTGCAAAAAAATCTTAATCTGTGCCCAGCAAGAATCAAAGTCTCCTAGTTCAAAAGCCATGGAAAGAAAGAGGAGAAAAAAAWKRAAAAAAAAAAAAAGAAARAAGAAAGAAATTAGAGAAAAAAGAACTAAGGGAAAGATAAGATAGACAAGTTTCTAAATTGTTATCTAAAGGAAAAAAAGTAAATTTCGTCATTCAGAAAAATAAAAACAATTGGCAATGAGTCTCTCAGACTCCTAGTGTTACACTTATAGTATTTAAATAAAAAGCTGATGTAAATTCAACCATCAGTTCACTTGCCCATGGCCCCATCATAAGCCAGAAATTGGGCTGTCTACAGCTTCTTGGCTTCCCCTTTCCCCACAGGAAAACACTGCTTGAACAGTCATTTTAAAAGATTTGTTAGAGCAAACCTTCCTATGGAGGTGACATTTAGGCCAAGGAGCTAGAGCCAGAAATTCTCCCCCAGCACAGACAGGGGGGCCAAGTCACCCCACGAGGTGAGAGTTAGTGGCAAGAAAGAGTTAGGGGCAAGAGAGAGTTAGGGGCAAGTTAGTGGTGAGAGTTAGTAGCCACAGCCAGACGAAGAAAGAGTTTAAGGGTTCCCAGTTTACAAAGCAGGTGAAAAGATCAAGCCAGAGAAGACAAAAGGAAGCAGAAAACACATTTAAACTCTCAATTCTCCCATTACAACTCCTTTCATCACACACAACCCCCTCCAAATCTTGATTTGAGTCATTACCAGGAACRAAAGTGGACTGTGGAGAAGGCTGTGACACCACGAGGCAGCTCAGCGAGTCGCAGAAGGCCATGACCCTGCAGCTGCCAGCCTGGGACACCACGAAGGCCTTCTCGAACTGGTACCTGYGCTGGCTCTGGCTGGAGGGGAGGCCGCCCGGGAGGCCCGTGCGGGAGGCGCCGGGGTGCTGCGGAGCGGTCACGTTGTGCTGCGCCACCAGGGCCTTCAGCTCCTGCAAAGGAAGAGACCCCAGAAGACTTTAATGCATCATGGGGGAGGCTGTGGTATGTGCTGGGTGCTCCAGCTGCACAGAGCGCGCTTGTCCCCAGAGAGGAGCAGAAAACGTCATTCCCAGCGCCATTCCCGTGCAGATCCCACCAGGCTGGATCTCCAAGTCCACGGACTATGAGAGCAATGGAAGCAACTGAAAAGCTACACAAGCTCTGGCAAAAAAAAACCTACTCCAGGTCTTTTATTGTAAGTGTTAGACCCTGTGCGAGAGAGGGCTCTTGAGCAGCACATAAAAGCCAATAACAATTACGGCCAGATCAATGCTGTTTAGAAGAGAATGAACTGCCAAGTACTGCATGCAACTGAACCACACAGGAAAGCCAATTAGAGCCATTTTCCTGAATTTCCAGAACACCCCACAAAATAAAATAAATAAAAATTAAATAGAAAAATAAAAATAAAATAAATAATAAATAGAATAATACAATAATATATAAAATAATAAGTAAAATAATAAAATCCCTAGCTTCAGCATGAAGTGCTTTGCAGGAAACGAGCCCGCCTGTCTAACAAAGCTAACGGTGTTCTGGTAAACCCTGGCCTGCAAATTCCAGGAACAACTCTGCTCTTAAGAGCTCCAGCCTTGTTTCCCCGGCCACCCTTGGGGACTGCAGCTGCTCTGCGCTCGAGGATGCTCCGCAGAGCAGGGCAACATTCCTCAGCCTGGGATTGCTGCAGCTCCCCTCTCCTCACACACACACCAAAGGGGAGGTGGGTATGGGAGTAGCATGACCATCGGATGAGTCAAACGTGTCTGAAACCCCTTTTTTTTCACCCATTTGGTACAAGGGCCAACCCAGCCTGTCCGGAACAGCAGCGTGCAGAGCTAACCCTAGGCAATGCATTAGAGGGAGGGCAMCTATTAAGAAAATTGCCTTTGGCTTCCCGTTGTCTAACGGGATTATGCTTCAGACACTGTGTAAAYATTAAACAATTAAAGGGCCACAAGAGTGAGATTTTGCATATTTTGGGAGACTGCAGGCTAGCTGCAACCGGCCACTGCCACTTAACTCCTGCCTAAACAAATCAGCAGTTCTCCATGAAGCAACAAAAATCAAACTCTACTTTAACAAGCAGCAATCTAACTTTGGGAAGATGCTCAAGAAGTGAACAAGTCTGGTATCTCCAGAAGTCTGAGCAGTTTTGTATCCCACACATCCAAGTTTCATCACAGCACACAAACTCGGCCACTCAACATGATGCCATTAGAGCAAAAAAAGACAAAGGGATTTGGGAAGGAAAAAATAAGCAACCTGGAACCTCCTGTCCTTTAAATGGAAAACACAACTTCAGGCCTAGAATAAAACAGTCAGTGAAAAAAGATAAACTAGAAGTGACTTTTTGCTCAAAAATTTAATTATTTCTAGAGAGCAAGAGGATCTCACCCCAGAGAACCAGAAGGGACTGAACTTGCTCACTGCTCTGGAGCTTACAGAAACTCTCCTTGCCACCCTGTTCAACATGTAGCCTTTAGGTAAGTTATTAATGAAAAAAGAAGCCAGGCAATTAAAAGTGTAAAGTCATTTACACTGAAACGCAACAGAAGAACGCTGCAGAGAGTCTGACTGTAGACACATTACCTAGGTGATTAAAGCATTACRCTACAGGACTAATCACACTAATTGCGCCCCAAAGAGCACCCTTTCCAGTCCTGTAAGTCTATTTTCTTTAAAGTACTTTGAAGAGTTTTTCCCTGGTTCCTGCTGCAGACTGAAGGTCCTACGGGCACTTCTCTGCCCACGCTACCTCGAGTGCAGTTCAGTCGCRTGGCTTGAAAGCACAAAGACAGTGTTAAAAACTTCTTTACAAGGAGCGTGAATGAGAGGCAGGACAGGACAGTGCACCGAGGAGGAAGTGAAATAGCTACAACAAAGTCAAGGCAGTTTGCTTTGGAGTATCTGGTTACGGTCTCAATAGCAGGTGCAGAGCTTTAGGGACAAAGGCAGATTTCTGATAACCGTCCCCTTGTGGCCGTGGCTCTGAGGACACCGCAGCTGCCCCGCACGCGCCAGCCTTGTGCACAGCATAGACCAACACGCGACCCTGCAGCCTGAAGCCTCCCTGCAACACAAATCCCTCCTTCCCTTCCCTTTCGATCACGCTCAAAGCYGGGCAGGAAAGAGGCATGGAGCTTTTCTAATAGGCCTTGCTAAGTAAAAAAGCTTTTCTGTTACATCAAGCACAATTCTGCAGTATAAACTCACCTTTGCAAGGATCACTTTCTGTACTGGGGAGTTGCTGGGGAGTACTTTCTACTCCCCAGCAACTTGCACCAACCTGGCACCTCCCTGCCAATCCCTCCTTGGCAGCTTCCTAGTGTTTCCCACCTTCARAATGAGTTCCCTGCTCCTCTTCATCCTACAGCATTATCAAGGCTGGCGGCTAGAGATGAATTGCTCGTCATCATTAACCAACTATTACTAAAAATATAAGCAGAACCAGAACGACGACAACAGCATTGCACATCCAAATCRCAGGAGGGGGAACAAAAATGCCTTTGCTCTTAGAGGAAAAGTTTTTGGCAAAAAGTACAGCTTGGGCAGCATTGCTGCCAAAATTCAAGCCTGAGCCTGCCATGCAATTAGCACAACACAGCTCAGCAAACTCGACAAGTTCACTTGCAGAAGCCGTGCCGCTGAGAGCTTTCTTCCARAACTTGAAGTTATCCTCTCTCCCTGCAACTGAAGTTTCTTCCCTCATACTCCTTCTGTATAAGGACAAAAAGTGTCCCTCTCCTAACCTAAAATCATCTTAAACACCTGTATAACAAAGCAAACTTACTTGCTGTGACTCTGATGGACTAGAGGGTAGCAGTAGATCAACAGACCAAATGGTCACAACTAACAGGTCTTCCACCATCAAGAGACTGCTTAAAAGGAAGAAACAATTTGCAGGAAATTGCATGGGAATTTCAAGAATTTAGGATTATTGTTAGAGACTTTATATGCACATAATTCTCTAAAAGGAAGTCAGATAATTAAAAGTGCCAGTATATCCACTGACCTAAAAGTTTAAGTGCAACGGAGGAACTCCATACAAACAAAGAGTCTTACAGTCTCAATAAAATGTGAGCAGTTTCTAAATAGTTTTCTTCCTGATGCAAATTAAGAGCTAATTAATACACTCTTACAATTTTCAATGCTCAAAACACAACCAAATTCAAGCCCTGTGCGCCAGGGCTCCGTGTTCAGCTCAACAGCAATTTTCTTGAAATTGAGAGACTTCGGAAATAAATCTTGAAAATTAAGTGGATCTCTACCCATGGGAAGCTGCTTGGCACACAGAATTTTATTAGCACACAGGACAGTCAACATGACTGCTGATGAGGCACAGCTTGCAAACACAGTGGCAATAAAAAAAAGGGTTCACAATGACTTTGGGGAGGAAACTGATAACATATATTTTCCATAAGACCTTAGACACCAAGGTTTGTATGTAACCAGTGCATATAGTATCCCCCTCCTATAACATTATGTGCAACTGGACTTTAAAATATTGAATAATCCTCTGAACATAAAGACATCTCACAGATTCCTTGGGCGATCTCATGGCACTTTAGCATGCAAAGCTGTAAATAAACATAGAAAAGCATTAAACATGTTTTCTCCTGTGTTCAGTAACATTGCCTCCTGAAAGGACAGAGGAAACAGGCTCCAACACAGCTGCAACAGAGCAAATTCTGATGAGACTGAGTGCAAATGACTTAAAGATATACTCAGAACTTGACGTGACAGTGTCCTGAGCAGCCTGCTCCCCCACTGAAGTGATCTGTGCTTTGAGGAGAAGAGTTGGCTTAGAAATTTCCCGAGTTTCCAACCTCACCAATTCTTTGCAAGGAGCTGCTTTACTAGATGGCCTCTCAAAAAATAAATAAGGAATTAGTTACACATATGCTCAGAATGCAACTGAAGAGCCCGGAGACTTATTCCAGACTTGCCCCTGATTTCTTGCTCCCTGGCAAACTGTTTACACTTTTCTTTCAGTTTATTCATAGCCTAAACAAGCACCTTAAAATTGCCTGCAGCATTCACATTAACCACCACAGGACAGTGATGAATGCAGTATAAATACTGGAACAGAGCTTAAGAACACAGGATACTTAATCTTTATAACACATGGCTTCAGTTCAGTTAGGCAAGATACTTTATCACTGCAACAGCAACAGAATTGCAGGACAGCATTATGGAACCTGCAAATTTTATCTTTTTCACATTTTTCTTAAGTCAAAGTTTAAGTTGACCAATTCTCACCTTAGCCCTTACGAGCCCGCAACCTTGTGCGGAGTTTRGCCAGTTCATTTATAAAGCCTTATGGCACATCAGAAATGAAGACTTTGCATAGACAAAGTTGTTTAATGTACAGACAAAAACAGTGTGGGGCTGCAGAGAACTCYGTAAGCAGAGAGCAGCCTAAAAACAAGAGATTAGACAGAATATAATCTGTTTTCACATATTTAGAGAAAGGCAAAGGAAGAGTAAATTGGTGCTGTTTAACCAGGAATTCACAAAGCTCAAGGAACTTGCAATAGCAGCAGCCCCAAAACCCCACTGCCGAGCTCTACTTGAAGGCTTCAAATTGAGCAACAGCAAGAGTTTGTGTTACATGCCAGGCAAGAGTCTTTCAGCTGTGATGCTCAGGACACTCCTGATGATTGACCCGTTCTGTTTGCAAAACCTTGTAACCTCTCAGTGCTGGAAGCCTGTCTGTCCCCTCCTAAAGAGGCAGGGGACAGAGGTTGAGCAGGAAGGGAGCCCAGCGTCTGCTGGCATCAGCAGCAGTGAGACTCACCTGAACTTGCTTGCGGAGTTTGCTGCACTCATCTGTCAAAACCTGCAGCTGGAGGCGGCTCTGTGCAGATTCCAGCTCTGCCTGTCTCCGCAGCATTTGCTCCTTTTCTAAAGAACTGCAAGAGAAGAAAAAAAAAAAAATCTTTGGGACTAAATATCCCCTAGGATGCTTCTCTGGGCTGCTGGTGCCCATCCTTAGGCTTTGTATCAGCACATGTCATATTCAGGTACATCTAGAAGTGAGAAAATCTGATACAACCTTCATCCAGTACACTTCCCCCAAGATGTTCTCGCTTACGCAATTGTACTGAATGACTCACTCAAGTATTGTCTAAAGAACGAACGGCCTTTCTCCTCACCCTCTCTGAGCGCTAATTTAATAAGCGGAAAGAAAAAAATACCATATTTTCCTGCAGGAATAATTTAGCAAATTTGACCATCAGTGTCCAGGTAAGGCACTATGTCTGTAATACAGTAAGTCACAATACAGGGAGATGTTTGCTCATTTCTTCTTCAAATAACTAACCTGATCTCAGGAACTAGCTGTATCTCAGGAAAACACAGCTGTGCCAGAAAATACACAGGTAATTTCTTTTTGCAATGCGTATCCAGAGGCCACACTTACTACCACCTCATCTCAAGCCAAAAAGGACCATATACACAACTTAGAAGTCGTTTTGGTAACACGCTTTCATTTCTCTTTCTCGTATGCTTTACACATGAAAGGATGATTAAAGAGCATTAGAAATGGCAGGACTCCCTAAAGTTATCTGCACATTTGGTCTGCAACAGTAACCACTACATTCTGCCCTTCAAAAGCTGCAGTAATCCAATTATTTCAGCAGTGAACGTGTACAAAAGACCTGGCTTGCCCAAGCACCTTTTAAGCCTGCAAACCTGGCCCTGTGTGTTTACCAAGGCACAAGACACTGCCGTTTCACTAGAGCTTCTTCTCATGATTTTCGTTGTGTACTGAACAGATTAAATGCTATATTTAACCACCACAAGCATTATTCACACAAGTACCCAGAGCCTGAAGAGTCGCTTTACTGTATCCAGGGAACAAAACCATGATCTCGCACCTAATTCAAGGCAAAGTATTGATGTAGTTTTTTCCTTAACGTTTGCTTTCTTCATCCACCTGTGGCTGTGTGCCACAAAGCAGCCATTGCCAATGTGTTAAGGAGACTCTATTTAAATTCTCTTCAACACAACAGGCAGGAAGGAGAGCCCGGAAATTTGCTGCCTTCTAATTTCAGGATAGTATCTGTGACAGCGTCATACCAAAGTCTAGCAACATAGATTACAGAAGAGAAATTAGCAGCCATTTTCATGCCGTTTTTCCTTTTTATTTTTAAATAGAGTCTATATTTAAGTTGGAGGGGGTGTAGAATCATGGTAATGCTTGCTGACCTTTTATAAGCAAAGCTACTTGAAGAGTTTGACAAAGCAAGATGGAAAGTGATTCATAGGAGAGATTACAGTGCTTAATGCATACAGAAGAAGATGGCAGAAAAGGTCAGTTATTCACCCTTCTTACATTCCTAYGTGTGCTTGGCTTTTCTCATCTAATGATGAATTAGCCACACAGTTTTTTGGCAACAGCTCCCACATATTCTCCTGCAGTGGCATTTCGGGACAAGAGAGCTCTCGCAAGGCCAATGTCAGGAGGCACCACGATTCCTACCTCAGGAGGAATTTCTCCTGGTATGTAAGACACATGGGCAAAACACCAACACCTTGGTGTGCTACAGAAGCCATCTGCATGGTAACAGCAGCTAAGCAAGCGGACAACTTGCTTTAGAAAGTGCAGCAAATCACAGCATGAAGTGAGAGCTAGTGACACACGATGCACAGGGTTTTAGCTTTAGGTGGAGCTTCCATCCATACCTTTTCATCCGCTCCTGTTCGCTGGTGTCCAGCGCTTTCAAAGTCCGTGCGTACAGGACCACAATGTCAGAACGTTTGGCTTTCTTATTGCACTAGAACAAAAGGAAGGGTTAGCTTTCTCTGCAAGGATTTCACATGCCATTTAAATCCAAACTATGCATCCCTATAATCTGTTAGGCATCCGTTTGAGAYACCAGTTTAGTTCTGATAGGAGGGTGGTTTCCAAAAAAAATCCATGGAAACAAAGGTAACACTGCACTTGTGCTAGGTGCTTTTCATCACAGCTCTAACCAGGGCTACTACAACACACTGGGACCTGAATCTGGTGGCACCTTTAATAACCCCTCTTCTTGCTTCCCACTGAATTGGTTTTGCTAAAGCACTAGGGACACAGCCTAGTCAGGTAAGTTCTACAAACAAATGAGAGAAGCCCCAAATAAAAACCACTCATTGTACATCTACATTGAAAGCATCAAGACTGGCAGCTCAAACAATACACAATGAGTCAGGCACCCCAAGCACTCTAAACCCCTTTATTTCTCTATTATGCTCTTTTGATCAAGTCCCACGAGCCCCAATTCACAAAATTACTCTGATGTCAGTGGAAAACACTGATTTCCCACCAATTTCTGGGATACAAGGAGAATCAGACATTTAAATAATTTTGTGCCTCTGGCTGTGACCATCAAGTACTTCAGATTCTTTTTKACAAAGATGAGAAAATACCTCGACTGGGGACCTGGAGAAAGCCACAACATCTGCAAGGCTGTTGTTTTAAAATAGGCCATGCTGATTACAAAAAAACAGCAGCAAACCCTAGGATCAAGTGAACCTTCAATTACTTGTGAGCCTTAAATTGCTATGTGTGACTAAAAGGCTCATTTTATTACTTAGCAGCATGAGGATATCATGGATTGCAGTGCCAGTTTCAAACAACTCCCTGCACCAAGGGTTTGTGAAGCAGTAAGTGGGCTTAGGCTGCCCTCCTGGCAGCTGGCACCGCAGGAACTGGCACGCTGCAATTTCACAGTAGCTCGAGCCACTTAGTACACAGAGCCACATGCACAGCAACTTGGTGCCTTGGAATCAGAGAATGCCCCGCCACAAACAGCAACTCAAAATGAAGAGTAAGTGRCTGAGCGGAAAGGATCCCCTCAGAACAAGTTCTCCAAGGAAAGTTTCAGGAGCTTCATCACTAGAAGAGATACGGGCAGCAAAAAGCACCTCCTAGGGATTGTTAGGGTTCATCCCTCAGAGGAACATGCTCTGGGAACAGCAGTTCATTGTATTTAATCACAGCGCATGGCAGGAAGATTCTTGTTCAGAGGAGGGAATCCTGCTGAAAGTTGGGCAAGGCTACGGAAAATGGAAAGACCCAAAATGGAAATGCCAGAGAAATCCCRGGCTTTCAGCCATGGATCTGGAAAGCAGCAGAATTCAGATCTATTTACAAGGTACTTTGACCTGTTTTTCTAAAAACCTTCCTTTCAGGAAAAAAACAAAAGATTAAAATCTGAAAATGCTTCTCCAACAAATTTCTTGCCCAACAGCATAAGCTTTATGCTTAATTGTTGCTAGGAATGTGTGTACTCTCCCATTCCCACACTCCAGGACCACTGTGAAACCAATTATGGGGTTAGCACTTGAACTTTCAAACTTTTCAGTCTGCAACTCACAGATATTCTATTTCGGAGAGAAAATCCACAGTAAAATTCTCCCTTTCAAACAGTGCTGCCTGTTCCTGACCTAGTTATGTCAAAATAATGGTGATTTTTGTGATTTCTGACAGCGTGCAAAGGTGCATTCTTTATGCAGCAAGCAGTTGTAATCATTATTGTGATCGTGCCTGGAGCAAACACGAGCCGATGGCAAGCCCGCTTCACGGCACAATGATGTCCATTTTTACCTGGGGGCACTTTCCTGCCTGTCCCTTGAGCCACCTCTCGATGCAGGTGTAACCAAACAGGTGCCCACAGCGCAGTGCCGAGAGGCGGTGGCCTCCTGCATTGGTCCACTGCTCGAAGCAGATGGCACAAGTGTCCCCTTCTTCCTCATCCAAGGGTGCAGCAGGAGCCAACARTTCTGACTTCTTTGTCGGACTTCTCTAAAATATATAAGACAAAGTTTAGACAGATGCAGCATCTCCCACCTTTAGCCTGTCCCCCAAAGCATTTAGGTGACTCTACCTGCTTTTGCTGGAATGCAGCCTCTTCGTTTTCCTGACTTTCATCCTCTGCAGAGGGAGGTAGAGCTGGAAGTGGCTCTGCTTGGGCCTGACTGGAAACTGAAAAAAAAGCATTGATTGAGAAAGCATTAATTGAGCTGATACCTAAGGGGAGGTAGAGCATCTCCTTGACTTGATCTGCAATTACAAGGGCATCAAGAGCAGCAGTGCAACTGCAGCACAGGTTACATACAAGCTTCACATCATGGCTAAAGAAGAACAGGAAATTTGTAAGTCCTCGTTGTGCAACCTTAGTGCCAGCGTGCTTGCCTTGACAGAAACAATTACAGAAAATGCAGTGACAAAACAGAGCTCTTTGGAAGACAGCAACTCTCACCAGGACTTGCCCAAACTGCTGGAAACCAGAACATCTTCACAGGGGCCTATGGTTGGGTCAATGTTAAGGTTACAACCCCAAATCATTGCGCCCAGTAAGAGACAGGCAAAGGCAGAAGTTACTTTGCCAGGATATCAAGGTATGCATATTTCTTGTGCCAAGAAAACACAATATGCTGCCTGTTCTTTTRCCCTGCCTTAAAGGGTTTTCTAGCTAGTGGCTGTCCGAAATATCATTTCTGCTGGGCCATATGTTTTTGTCGCTGGCCCCTGTGAGCCCTTCTGTTGAAGCAGACACACAGAAGGATTTTGTTTGCGTTATCACTACTAGCATACTGAAAAAGCAGCAGCCGCCACTGCCATCTCCTCTCGCCCGCCACCTCTTGATAAAAAAGGTTATTCACAATTAGTACCCAAGTCAGATATTGTCCAGCCAGTAAAGTGTTATTACAATAGYCTGGCTAACATCAGTAAGAGATTTCCTGCCTCTGCAGTTCAAAAAATAAAAAAATAAATAAAACAAGAAGAACAAAAGAGAGCATATGTTCACATGATATCATGCAGCATTTCACAGTTTGTGCTCATGTCACATTTAAGACTAACTCAGTGTGACTGGAGCAGAGGCATTCCTTAGGGCCTGAGGTAAAGAACATTTTAGCTGCATATTCTCCGGGCACCATTAGCCTTGAACACCAAAGCCATTGTTTGCCACTCTTATTTTCACCAAAGAGCCTGGCAGTCTGAACATGAGTTTGACTAACAAGCTGACAGCCAGAAAAAGCTGAGCAAAGAGGTGGAACAAAAACCCACTGTCTTAAGTACCCCAAGATCCTTGGCTAAGTGTTCCAAGAGGTTACAGCAAAGATGAGAAAACTCCGGACTGAAGAAGAAGTCCTAAGTAACTAAAAAGATAACCTGGATTAACTCCCTTTTGGAAACAAAAGCCCTGCCGACCTCCAGAGATGTATCCTGCTGTTTTCAGTAATATTCCTTGGCAATAAAGAAAGAAAGAAGCATTCTAAGTAGCAGTGCCTAAACTTGTAGTTATTTCCAACATTTCAGGATTATTTATTCCTTTAAAACAGCAGTAAAAATATATTTAAGCTTACAGCAACAATCATTCGTTGCTGCTACAGCTCGGAGAGGCGCTTGCCAGGAAGCCTGGTGGTGGCAACCTGCTCCTCTCAGCTGTGGGCACAACCATCTCCCCGTGCCATCTGGCACGGGAGGATTTCCCTGCCAAGTCTGAAAGCAAGAAGATGAGTTTCTGAAACTAAATCTTCACGCAATACAAATATAGCACCAACCTTCTAAGCTGGGTGGCACAGGGGCCTCCTGAGCTGAGGGTAACAGTGGAGCTCCAGCATTCAGCTCTTCCTCCTCTTCCTCYTCAGTAGAAGTGCTGCTGTCAGAGTCGCTCACTTCTACAGTTTCATCTGAGCTGTGGCCCTGGTTGTCCCCCGGATTGTGTGAAGGCTCCAGACGTGGAGCTGATACTGCAGCCGGCTCTTGGGTCCTGCTGATTTGGAAGTAACTGGCCAGCGCTGTCCTGAGGCCAGAAGAGCAAGAGATAAGTCACATAGTTGTTACTGTACATTTTGCTAAGCCTAACTTCAGTGAGATTCTTAGGAATTGCCTGCTTTAGCAGCAACCTGTACTTAGAGCAGAAACTTAAACCTGGTTTCTACAGGCACCGTCAATACTGGATACACAGGGGCTGCGTCAGACTCAGCCCATTCAATCTTGTGCCCAGCGTTTCCACCCTCCCTTTTCCAGCAAGAAACACCATCCCCTCCCGTCCAGCCATTCAGCTAGCCTCTCAATTATCCTTCCCTGTCAAAGCAGGGGTTTCATCAGGTTGCCTTCCAGCCCTGAGAACGACAGTGACCTTCACGAGAAATCCAAGGGCAAATCCTGCAGTTTTGTTTAATCATCTAGCAGGAGAAGAGCACTCGGCCTTACTGAATTCAAAGAAAACTCCCCAGTTAATTAGAACGTCACCATTGGCATTTGCAAGAGATACAGAGACGAGCAGGAGGTAGAAAAGAAACAAAACCAAAAAACCCACAGAGGAAAGGGGATTTCTTACTAGCTGGAGTGCACCTCCACTAATCACACTTTAAAATCAGTCATGTGTGGAATTAAGGGCAGAATTATTTTCTTTGCCTAGAGATAACACAAAAACTCTAAGAAAAATCTTAGTTTGAGCACCAGTAGAAGTGCCTGCAGTTGCCACCAGAGGAACTAAACAGGACAAACCCCAATCAAAGGTGAAATGTAAAACAGCACAGGCTCCACTGAGCTAAATGCTGGCCAGTAGTGCGGAGAATCAGCTCTGCTGTGGAAAGTACCAATGGGAACCTGGCAGGGCAGAGGGASCCCAGGGAGCAGCAGCAGCTCTGGAAGTCAGAGAGAGAGCAGAGAGGGCTCAGAAGTGAACAACAACACTGCCAATCTGAGAGACAGTGAGGCATTTATTTAACAGGGAATRAAAAAGCTGTCAGAAGAGACCAGAGTGCTATTACAGAGGTTAAAAGTTACACGAGGGATGGAGAATYTGGCCACAATCACACACTGGACTGAGCTAGACTCCGTCAGCCAGGAAACAGCAGTTTTTAAGCTGACACTGCGAGATTTGAAAAGCTGGGGTCCAAACCCAATTCCATTTCTGCTTTACCTGGTACTGGCCGTCCTCTGGGAACCACCGACCCTTTGCTGCCCGCGAGCTCTTCTCACGCGGGGCCGCTGCGTGCCCTGYGGCCCAGGCAAGAGCTGCTGCTGCTGCTCAAACGCTGCCCACAGCCTCTGCAGGCCACGGAGGGCCGAGGCAGAAGGCGGCTGCTCCTGGGGGTTGGCGGCCGTCCCTGCTGCAGCAGCATCCGATGCCACAAGGGCTCCATCAGCAGGAAGAACGGCAGCATCGCTGCCTTGGCCGCCGAGCGCCGGAGCACTGGGCTCTCCAGGATCGGAGTGCTCCGACAYGAGCGTCCCGTGGTCCTGCCCAGGGACACCGGCCGCTGGCTGCAGATCAACTTCCATCTCTTCTTGGGCCATCACTGTAAAGAGACAATAAAAATAAGTAACATGCTCAAGCCGACCCCTTGCTTGTAGCGTGACAGGGGCATGAGACAGGGATGACAAAAACCTTTATAACTCAGAGCAGAGAGGCAATTTGTTCTTTTGCTTTAGGCACACAGCAAAGCTAAGCTGCCTGTCTCAGGAGATGTCCATCTGATGCACTAGCTTGTCCTTGCCTGGGCTCAGTCCCACCTCATCATTTTAAGTCGGCCTTCAGACAGAAAGGGAGGGTTAAGAATTTCTTGCTGGTATCATCTACTTGCTGGTAAACACATGGGGATCTCAGAGCACGGAGCTCAGAAAATATTTTCATGCCCTGGAGGTTTTGCACAGSAACAGGCACGACACAAACACCTACAAACACAGCTAGAAATCAGCTGGACAGCACGGTGCTTTGTCCACTGCATTGCTCTTTCTGGAGGAGGKTTTATTTTCAAGTTCCTTCAGAGACAAATAAAATTCCACCACAAGAACAGCTCTCTGTGAGCCTTACCCAGCACTTATTTAATCAGCCTTTCAATTACTTTACATCCACCAACATCATGCAAACACAGAAAGGGTATTTATTGTATCAGAATCCACAGCTGATACATACAGGATTTTAAGGCCCCTACAGCATCAGCTTTTGTGGAACCTATTCATCCTGAGGCTAGACAAACATAAATATCCATGAGTGTTATTGCCACGTTTTAAGCGTGGCTGCTTCTGAACACCTTCGGGATGAAGATTCCAGRTAACCTCCTAAAAAGAGATGGTGCCTAATGCTTCAAAGAGAGGAAGGGGGCAAAGGCTCCACATGGCTGCTAACAACACCAACAGGGCACATTAGCTGCCTTGAGCCTCCACAATCCTTCAGCTGCATAGACATGTACACCAAATAATTCCCCTTTTTYAGAGGGTGGGTTAAATTCTACATCACCCTGAGAACCATTTGTGTCCTCGGGAGACGCTCAGGCAACCGCCAAGCTGGAGGGCCTCGCGGAAGGGCCCAAAGGGCAGCCCAAAGGCGGGTAAACGGGGCCGGGGCGCTCCTAGCAGAGGACAGCGAGCAAAGCAGCCGGGCAGGGAGCGGGGCGCTGACACGGACGCCCCGCGGGGCCTTGGTGACAAGGGAGCGTTCCACAGACGGCAGCCAGCGCTGCAGCCCGCGCCGAACGCGCTCCCGCCGCGCGAAGGGAAGGGGCCCGCGCGGCCCCGGCCTCGCACGCACCTGCGGCCCCCGCGCTGCTCC